ACAAACGCAGAAAAAACACAGACACAAAGAGGCACAGACTATCTGTTGTCATTAAAACTCTCTCCAGATTGTGTAGTATAATCATGAAGATATGTTCCGAAATCACCATCAACTATAGATGATTCCATTGCGAAAACTACATTGTGATGTAAAGTAAGGGGAAGTATTTTAGACTGGCCCTTTAGCGGTATATGGTGGTTGATAAGGGCCATCACCATATCGCCCAAAGCAGCCACCAAGTGGAACTAGTAATTGTGGGGCGGTGGGGTAGCATATTAGTTAAAACTTTCTTCACCCAGAAGACCGGGTTCGACTGTGTGTGGATACACCCCGGCCTGATGTTGCTGGAGTAATTGCTGAAGGGGGCGAAAAGCTCTCACTCAATAGAAATTGTAGAAGATGTTTAATAAAATTTATAAAAATAACACGCAGCAGCAACTGATCTTCAGTCGGTCGTTTGGATATGAGTCATACATGTACGTCCAAAACATTCTGCATTCAGTAGTTTGACGTTATGTACTTGAATGCATCGTGTGACCTCTAGTCTGGACCAGACAATCCAGTGATCAATATCCTGAACATCGATTTACGTAATTGGAATGCGATGACATGTGTCAACCAAGTCAACGAGCCAGACCACCCGATCCCGTTAATCGTCTCGTAGGACAAACATGGGTTACTGAAGATCAATTCTAACCTGGATCTTCACGGGTTTGTCCCTTCCTGTACCAATATGATAATCAAAGGCGGTAAGGTTGCCAAGTGGTTGAAGCGTTCGCCCGTCGCGTCTAAAGCCCGGGTCTTATTTGGGATCTCCACATGGGTGAAATGTGTGATGCACATCCCCCCTGTCTCCCCTCAGGAATATTGCTAAAAGTTGCAAAAAACTACACTCACTCATCCATATTTCAATCACAGATAAAAATGCTCTGCTTATGAAATTTCCAATGAAACATATTTTGAGCAGAAACTTCATTTCAGTGAGTGCGTTTAGTTTTACGCAGCACCTAGCAACATTCCAGCTGTATGGCGGCAGTCTGTATAATAATCCAGTCTGGATCAGACAATCCGGTGATCAACAGCATGAGCATCGATCAACAAGTTCATTATGGAGGAAAACACCAACTCGTATTGGGCATTACCTTTTCACAATGGTGGCGGTGGGGTAACCTAGTGGTTAAAACATTCGCTCGTCATGTCGAAGACCCGGATTCGATTCCCCACATGGGTACAATGTGTGAAGCCCAACTGACGTGTCCCCTGCCGTGATATTGTTAAAAGCGGCGTAAATCTAAACTCACTCATTCACTCACTTTTCACACACCAGAGTGTGTATGTAACAAATCCTAATTGCCATATTCTGTGACATCCAACTCAGAATGTGTATGTAACAATCCTAATTTGTGGCTTCTAAACATCATAAAAAAATCGATGACTGCGATAGGTGACCGTTTTAACATTTTATTGACCGATGCAATAACATTGTTGAGCAGATGTGCATAGTTACGATACAGGTGTAGTCTACTATTTGGCGATAATAAACGAGGTCACCGTGCTTCACGTCTCGGTGTTTCACGTAACTGTGCTTCACGTGTGTGCGCTTCGCGTCTTACGTAACTGATCTTCATGTACACGTGCTTCACGTCTCTGTGAGTCTCGGCATCTGAAATTGAAATTAATATTTATTTAATAAAGCGAAATGTATCTCAGCAGGACATGAATGCCCGATGTACAATGCACTTCGTCCCAGCTACAAGCCATATTGTCCACCTACACCTCATTTTAAAATTTCATTCCCATTATATATTATGGTGAACACGTCATTCCCACTTTTTATCCTAGCAAAACGTCATTCCCATTTTATATCCTAGCAAAGACGTCATCCCCACTTTATATCCTTGCAAAACGTCATCCCCACTTTTATATCCTAGCAAAGACGTCATTCCCATTTTATATCCTAGCAAAGACGTCATCCCCACTTTTATATCCTAGCAATAGCGTCATCCCTCCGATAAAACGTCATTGCCACTATGAAACGTCATTCCCAATATGTATCTTAGCAAAGACGTCATTCACACAATAAAACGTTAACCTCACTACAAATCATAGCAAAGACGTCATTCCCACAATAAAACACCATTCCTACTTTTTTGTTGGAAACTTCTATTTTCAAAAAAGAAATAGCTGTGTTGGTAAGGAGCAGTACATGAGTATTTCTAATCACGTTACATATACATCCTTAAGGAACGAATACACTTTTTTTTTTTTTGGTACTCTTTAAAATTACATATGAAAGACTTGTGGTTAGTCTTAAGCGGAACAAATTCATTCTTTAAAAAATGTGGTGAGTTAATACAGAGCGATTAAAAGTTGCCGAAAAGTCGTCTTTGAAAACAAGTTGTAACTCCGAAGCTGGGCAAAGCAGGTGACAAGATTAAATGACCATAGATTGTGAAAACATAAAGCTTTCATTTTTCACAACGCTTGCCACGATTTCAGGTTTAGACAAACCTGTAAACAAGATAATTTACCCCTGAAACGCCAGTCATAGACATTCCTCGCATTACGTCACGGAGACGCGCCCCTCTGATTGGCTGAAAATTCGTTCACAGGAGAGAATTGTGCACTTTTGTAAAAATGGTCGATTTATGTTTATAAACTGTCGAAATGAGTAGTTTTAATGACGGGGTTTCATTTATAACGATACCAATAAATGTATTTGTACCCCCTTGAGTATACGTGATCAAGTGGTTAAAGCGTCCGCTCGTCACGCTGAAGACCCAGGTTGGGATTCCCCGCATGGGAAAAATATGTGAAGTCCATTTCTAGTGTCCCCCGCCGTGACTTTGATGGAATATTGCTAAAAGCGGCGTAAAACCAAACTAACTCATTCACTCACCTAAAAGCCTAAAAGCCGTAATTTCCAGATTTATCATCAGACATCATGCCTCCCATTGGCTGCATGTCGCCCGTGTTGCCCGCTGTCTGCATGTCTCCCATGGTCTCCATGGCGAAGTGATGAGCAAGGTGATGGGCGGCGAACATCCTCACGTGATGCACATACTCCTTTGCGCTCACACACAGCGTCTTCACAAGCCCCTGCAATAATGTCGAAATGTAGTACTCTTAGATGACCCAGTCATGTCACACCAAAAGATGGTACTTGTTGTTGCCCTGCCTCTCGCTGAGCAATAAGAAGACAAACAATGAAGACACGGCTCGGAGTCAATTAATTGTGTCTGTGTCTGGTATCCATGGTATTTGCAGCATGTTGTCACAGTTTAAAACAGGCATTAGAATTGAATCTTAGAAAATTGAATTTGACTTTACTAGGCTGAAAACTGTCACCGAAGAACTGCAAAGCGAGGGTTCAAAATGCAATTATGGGACCCCAAGCGCTATCTCATTTGTTTCATTTTTCATACATGGTGTATTCTTTCTTTGTCATTTTAATTGCATTTGTTAACAAGAATGGACGCCAGGATGTTTTAGTGCTCACCTTCATGAACATTTTCTTGGCCTCTTCTTGTGTCCTTGGGTGTGGGAAGGCCAGGTGTTCGTCGATGTCCATTACTTCAGTGTTGTTGCTGTGCACCTCGTTCATGTTGCGCACGCTGTCGGGGTTGAAGAAGCGTTGGAGATCCATGATAGACTCGCTGCACTTGCAGAACTTCATCAGTTCATACACGACGGTGAACACGTACTGCTTCTTCTTCTGGGTAAAGGTCTTCATCATCTCGGCGAACTCCTGCTCTTTGTGGACCTGCGAGTGAGTGAGTGAGTGCGACGAAATCAGTGAAAAGGAATGACAGAGAGGAAAGAAATAGTGAGGGGTGGATAAATCAGTGACAAAACACATCATATAGTTCAATTTTCATTATTCGTTCAATTCCCAATCAGTAAAACTTAGTTGACGGTTTAATTGTTAAAAATCACCCTGGTTAGAATTGGTCTTCAGTAACCAATGCATGTCGTAAGATGCGATTTACAGGATCGGGTGGTCAGGCTCCCTGACTTGGCGGATGCATGGCAAGGTATCCCAATGTGTACATCGATGCTCATGGTGTCAATCACTGGATTGTCTGGTCCAGACTCGATTATTTAACGACCGCTGGCATGTAGCTGGAATATTGCTAAGCGTAGCGTTAAACAGCAGGCCAACCAACCAACCAACCAACCAACCAACCAAACACACAAACAATAAAACTCATCTTCTCCGAACGCCTGTTATTAAACGCTGAATTCTCACCTGAGCATGGAGTCTAAGCACTCCCTGGAGCTTCGTCATATTTTCTGCCTTCTGCCTGTGTTCCTCCATGTTGGCCTGGAACTGAAATTTCCAATGAAACATATTTTGAGCAGAAACTTCATTTCAGTGAGTGCGTTTAGTTTTACGCAGCACCTAGCAACATTCCAGCTGTATGGCGGCAGTCTGTATAATAATCCAGTCTGGATCAGACAATCCGGTGATCAACAGCATGAGCATCGATCAACAAGTTCATTATGGAGGAAAACACCAACTCGTATTGGGCATTACCTTTTCACAATGGTGGCGGTGGGGTAACCTAGTGGTTAAAACATTCGCTCGTCATGTCGAAGACCCGGATTCGATTCCCCACATGGGTACAATGTGTGAAGCCCAACTGACGTGTCCCCTGCCGTGATATTGTTAAAAGCGGCGTAAATCTAAACTCACTCATTCACTCTTCACTTTCACACACCAGAGTGTGTATGTAACAAATCCTAATTGCCATATTCTGTGACATCCAACTCAGAATGTGTATGTAACAATCCTAATTTGTGGCTTCTAAACATCATAAAAAAATCGATGACTGCGATAGGTGACCGTTTTAACATTTTATTGACCGATGCAATAACATTGTTGAGCAGATGTGCATAGTTACGATACAGGTGTAGTCTACTATTTGGCGATAATAAACGAGGTCACCGTGCTTCACGTCTCGGTGTTTCACGTAACTGTGCTTCACGTGTGTGCGCTTCGCGTCTTACGTAACTGATCTTCATGTACACGTGCTTCACGTCTCTGTGAGTCTCGGCATCTGAAATTGAAATTAATATTTATTTAATAAAGCGAAATGTATCTCAGCAGGACATGAATGCCCGATGTACAATGCACTTCGTCCCAGCTACAAGCCATATTGTCCACCTACACCTCATTTTAAAATTTCATTCCCATTATATATTATGGTGAACACGTCATTCCCACTTTTTATCCTAGCAAAAACGTCATTCCCATTTTATATCCTAGCAAAGACGTCATCCCCACTTTATATCCTTGCAAAAACGTCATCCCCACTTTATATCCTAGCAAAGACGTCATTCCCATTTTATATCCTAGCAAAGACGTCATCCCCACTTTATATCCTAGCAATAGCGTCATCCCTCCGATAAAACGTCATTGCCACTATGAAACGTCATTCCCAATATGTATCTTAGCAAAGACGTCATTCACACAATAAAACGTTAACCTCACTACAAATCATAGCAAAGACGTCATTCCCACAATAAAACACCATTCCTACTTTTTTGTTGGAAACTTCTATTTTCAAAAAAGAAATAGCTGTGTTGGTAAGGAGCAGTACATGAGTATTTCTAATCACGTTACATATACATCCTTAAGGAACGAATACACTTTTTTTTTTTTTTTGGTACTCTTTTAAAAATTACATATGAAAGACTTGTGGTTAGTCTTAAGCGGAACAAATTCATTCTTTAAAAAATGTGGTGAGTTAATACAGAGCGATTAAAAGTTGCCGAAAAGTCGTCTTTGAAAACAAGTTGTAACTCCGAAGCTGGGCAAAGCAGGTGACAAGATTAAATGACCATAGATTGTGAAAACATAAAGCTTTCATTTTTCACAACGCTTGCCACGATTTCAGGTTTAGACAAACCTGTAAACAAGATAATTTACCCCTGAAACGCCCGTCATAGACATTCCTCGCATTACGTCACGGAGACGCGCCCCTCTGATTGGCTGAAAATTCGTTCACAGGAGAGAATTGTGCACTGTTGTAAAAATGGTCGATTTATGTTTATAAACTGTCGAAATGAGTAGTTTTAATGACGGGGTTTCATTTATAACGATACCAATAAATGTATTTGTACCCCCTTGAGTATACGTGATCAAGTGGTTAAAGCGTCCGCTCGTCACGCTGAAGACCCAGGTTGGATTCCCCGCATGGGAAAAATATGTGAAGTCCATTTCTAGTGTCCCCCGCCGTGACTTTGATGGAATATTGCTAAAAGCGGCGTAAAACCAAACTAACTCATTCACTCACCTAAAAGCCTAAAAGCCGTAATTTCCAGATTTATCATCAGACATCATGCCTCCCATTGGCTGCATGTCGCCCGTGTTGCCCGCTGTCTGCATGTCTCCCATGGTCTCCATGGCGAAGTGATGAGCAAGGTGATGGGCGGCGAACATCCTCACGTGATGCACGTACTCCTTTGCGCTCACACACAGCGTCTTCACAAGCCCCTGCAATAATGTCGAAATGTAGTACTCTTAGATGACCCAGTCATGTCACACCAAAAGATGGTACTTGTTGTTGCCCTGCCTCTCGCTGAGCAATAAGAAGACAAACAATGAAGACACGGCTCGGAGTCAATTAATTGTGTCTGTGTCTGGTATCCATGGTATTTGCAGCATGTTGTCACAGTTTAAAACAGGCATTAGAATTGAATCTTAGAAAATTGAATTTGACTTTACTAGGCTGAAAACTGTCACCGAAGAACTGCAAAGCGAGGGTTCAAAATGCAATTATGGGACCCCAAGCGCCATCTCATTTGTTTCATTTTTCATACATGGTGTATTCTTTCTTTGTCATTTTAATTGCATTTGTTAACAAGAATGGACGCCAGGATGTTTTAGTGCTCACCTTCATGAACATTTTCTTGGCCTCTTCTTGTGTCCTTGGGTGTGGGAAGGCCAGGTGTTCGTCGATGTCCATTACTTCAGTGTTGTTGCTGTGCACCTCGTTCATGTTGCGCACGCTGTCGGGATTGAAGAAGCGTTGGAGATCCATGATAGACTCGCTGCACTTGCAGAACTTCATCAGTTCATACACGACGGTGAACACGTACTGCTTCTTCTTCTGGGTAAAGGTCTTCATCATCTCGGCGAACTCCTGCTCTTTGTGGACCTGCGAGTGAGTGAGTGAGTGCGACGAAATCAGTGAAAAGGAATGACAGAGAGGAAAGAAATAGTGAGGGGTGGATAAATCAGTGACAAAACACATCATATAGTTCAATTTTCATTATTCGTTCAATTCCCAATCAGTAAAACTTAGTTGACGGTTTAATTGTTAAAATCACCCTGGTTAGAATTGGTCTTCAGTAACCAATGCATGTCGTAAGATGCGATTTACAGGATCGGGTGGTCAGGCTCCCTGACTTGGCGGATGCATGGCAAGGTATCCCAATGTGTACATCGATGCTCATGGTGTCAATCACTGGATTGTCTGGTCCAGACTCGATTATTTAACGACCGCTGGCATGTAGCTGGAATATTGCTAAGCGTAGCGTTAAACAGCAGGCCAACCAACCAACCAACCAACCAACCAACCAAACACACAAACAATAAAACTCATCTTCTCCGAACGCCTGTTATTAAACGCTGAATTCTCACCTGAGCATGGAGTCTAAGCACTCCCTGGAGCTTCGTCATATTTTCTGCCTTCTGCCTGTGTTCCTCCATGTTGGCCTGGAACTTCTCAAACTGCTGGAACTTCTCCATCTTCTCCGTGACCTCCCGCACCCACTGTTCATGTTGCTTCCGAACCTGCTCCTCCTTCCACTGTCTCATGACGTCGTACTTGTGATGAAATCTCCACCAGATGAAGGGGCCAGTCGAATGTTTTTTTAATTACTAGCTCTCCCCCCAGGGAGGTATTCCGATCTGATTTGTTTGTCAGTCAAGGCGTCTCCCACGCCCGGCGGTGATCAAAGCAAGGAATTCCACAGCTATTTTAAGCGTGCCAAGGTTGTTGGACAGAATCTGAGATTTAAGGTTGATTTTGCTGATGGCGATGTACTGCTGGACGGTACAGTGATGGGTGTAAACCAGGTGAAGTCCTTCACCAAGTCTGCCCAGAGTCGGTCTTTTGTGGAGAAGCTTTCTGAGAAGCCATTGCATCGTGTGTACATGCAGTGTGTTGAACAGAATAGCAATCCCACCGACTTCTTCGCCTGGATGAAGTCGGCTGGTCTTAAATGTGAAACTGAGGGCTTCCTTTTCGCTGCTCAGGACCAGTCACTGCCCACTCGCAATCGCCTAAATGTGATTCTTAAAGAAAATATCAATATGAAAAGTCGACTTTGCAATGAATTCACGGAGACTGTCCAACACCTTGTTAGTGGATGCCCTTCCTTGGCACAAACAGCATATCTTAAACGACATGATGGCATGGCTCATTGCTTTTACTACTGTCTTCGACATGCCTGTGGCTTTGACTCTGAGGTCCATCCATGGTACGACCCTGAACATGTCCAGGGCGTCATGGAAAATGATGCTTACAAACTTCTCTGGAATAGGCCCATATAGAGCCTCAGAAGAATTCCAGCCATCACACCTGATCTTGTCCATTTTGATAAAGCCAATGAATTTATTTATATCATTGAATTTTCTGTCCCTTTTGACAGCAATGTGATTGGCAAGAATCAGGAAAAGCATGATAAAAATGCGGACCTCGCCTTTGAAATGTCTCGCTTGCATCCTAAGTACACTCTGGTCAGGCTCCCCATTGTTGTCGGTGCCCTTGGTTTGGTACCTCCTGATCTCTTGGCGCAGATCAGGAGAGTGCCCGGGTTCTCCACCAGGAGTACAGCCCTTCTGACGCTCTGGCGAGCCTTCATATTCTCCGGAAAGTTCTTGGAGGGTTCGACTAGGCAGTGTTTCAAGGGATAAGTCCCATTCACTGTCTGGGCTGCGTGTAGAGAGGGCAAGGGGCCCGAGCTGATGATGAGCCTTACCAGCCTGACTGTGCCAGGATCACTCGAACCCTCTCTGCTGCATTTTCATCTTTAATCTGTAAAATATAATAATAATAATACATTTGTAAAGAGCCTAATATCCACCTTACAGATGCTCAGTGGCGCTAATACAGTGATAAAACTGAACATATATACATAAAACAGAATGATTATCTACTGGTACACAGAAATAGGTAAGTCTTAAGCTGTGTTTTAAAGGCGTCTTTAGTGGTTGTATTTCTGAGGTTTTGTGGGAGTGAATTCCACAAAGAACCATATTTCATCAGTTCATAAAAACTCTATAGCAGTTAATCAAACCTAAATTAGTATAGCAAAACAACATATTTCAATGTGAAAGGTTTTACAATTAACTGCAGTAATTCGTTTAATGATTTTTTTAAACAAATGCAATATGTCAAGCTGCACAGTGTATGAAACGCAAACATGGCATAAATAGACGAAATTCACAACCTTGGTTTGACAAAGAGTGCACATTTCTAAGACATGAGAAAGACAGACTTCTGGGGTGTTTTAGGCATTTTAGCGATGGAGCATCGCTACGAAAGTATGTACATGCCAGAAACAAGTACAATTGTACTTTAAGATCTAAATAAAGAAATTATTACGGATCTGTAAAAGATAAATTACTTACAAATCTGAATAACTCAAAATTATTCTGGAACACCATGTTCAGGCTTTCTTCATCTAAGAATTTCTATTCCCAACATAACAATGGACTCGTGGTATACACATTTCAAAAACATATTTCAACATACTGTTATATGCAGACCTTCCAATTGATATTATGATATGTCGGAAATAGATAAGAATAAAGGAATCCAGTGAACAGACTAAACAAGACAGATGTGTGAATGACAAAGAGCACGGTGTGGATGGCGCCGACGAGACCGAATGCGTATGATAGCTAATTGCGGCCCTCCGCCGTGGCAAAGCAGACTGGTAAAGCAAGGGGAAATTTGGTACTTCTTCCCGCGGAGACAGCAGGCAGGAAGGTTTGGGCTGCCGCTGTAAAAGTAGATGCCAAGTATCCCTAGTTGTAGCAACGCTGCTGCGTAGTCCCATCGGCACCATGCCCACCGCACCTATTTTATTAAGAAGTTGGATCTTGGTACAGCTTGTGTCTGTTCTGTACAATGGTGACTTAAAAGTAAAAAATTACCAACCTCCGCGCCCCCCTCCCCCCAAACACGGTATTGCCCTTTTAAGGGACGGGTGGGTGGGAATTATTTAGCAGAGGCAAAATGTAAGACTTGACCGGAGAGCATGAAGGATAGAAAGGAAGGATATGACGTATGCTTGCGGATGTGATATGACGTATCTACTATTATGGGATGCGGAAGAACAACACTGCCATGTGCGTTGCTGTGCTGGTTAGTTCCTATAAGCGAAAGTGAGTGCTAGGGTTTAAAGTTGTGCACATAAGCGAAAGTGAGTGCTAGGGTTTAAAGTTGTGCACAAGGATTGTAAATACTGGCTATGAAAATGTTTACCAATTTACTTCTAAATGCCCTACTGCTGCTATTAATAAATGCTGAAATAATACACCGCCTCCTGTACTGCTACGCTGGCAAGTGCTAGAGTTTGAAATTAATTGTAAATGCTGCCCATAAACCCATTTAGCGAAACAACGCTAAATGTCAAATTATACATTTAATGTCGGTTTACATTCTATCGATCATGATATTGAAGAGAAAGCTCCTATTACAAGAGATGATATCTGTGCAGCGATTACAGAACTAAAATCATCCAAGAGTGCTGGGCCTGATCATATCATAGCAGAATTTTTTAAGTCCTCAAAGGATATTTTAGTTCCCTATATTCAGTTGCTATTCAATGTTCTGTTTGATCGAGCGTATTTTCGATAATCGTGGTGTATGGGTCTTATTGTACCTATACATAAAAAAGGGGATACTAGTGTAGTTAACAATTACAGAGGTATATCAATTACAAGTATCTTCAGCAAGCTGTACATACATATTCTGAATAATAGAAAAAATCGTTGAATCGCAAGCGGGTTTTCGCAAAGGTTACAGTACTATTGATAACAGTTTTATTCTACAGTCCGTTATTGAACGCTATCTCTCAAAAAAGAGAGGTAAAGTGTATGCATGTTTCATAGACTTTTCCAAAGCCTTCGACTTCGTGAATAGGACAAAACTATGGAATATTTTAAGGCTAAGAGGAGTAAGCAGCAAAACACTTAAATCAATCCAAGCCCTCTATGCAAGTGTTAAAGCGTGTGTCAAATTTAATAATAATTTATCTACATGCTTTGATTGTCCATTGGGTCTACGACAAGGGTGTATCCTAAGCCCTCTTCTTTTTTCCATTCTTATCAATGAACTAGCTTATGAAATCGAATCATGTTGCGTACCAGGAATTCAGCTTCATCCTGAACTTGTACAGTTATTTCTTCGTTTATTTGCTGATGGTGTTGTGTTTATCTCTGATACAGTGTTTGGTTTACAGAAAAGACTTGATGTCCTAAAGATATTTTGTTCTGAGAATTGTTTGACGGTAAATATGGAAAAAACAAAGGTAATAGTATTTATAATAGGTGGAAGACTGTCGAAGTATGAAAAATGGTTCTATAATGGTGTACAAATAGAATGTGTTTCCTGGTACAAATATCTAGGTACTTTATTCAGTAGGTCATTAGTATGGACCAAACACATAGAAAATGTGTGCCTGCAGGCTAAGCAAGTCTTATTTGGTATTTTTAGATCACTGTCAATGTTTAAGCCATTACCTTTTCACTTGTTCTTTAAGATTTTCGACACCAAAGTTTGTCCAATTTTATTATACGGTGCAGAAATATGGGGACTGAATGTTGTTAACTAAATAGAAGTTATACATGTAGCAGCTTGTAAACGATTTCTAGGAATTAAATCCTCTGTTTCAGCGCGTGTTGTGCGAGGCGAATGTGGAAGATATCCATTGTATATTTATACCATCAAAAGGTCTATCAAATATTGGTGTAAAATATTGAAAAATTCAAATGAGCTATACGTAAAGAAATGTTATAACATGCTTGTACAAATGGAAAGTAATGGTTGCAGGAGCTGGACATCTGGGATAAAGCATATATTAGAAGTCTATGGATTGGATTTGTTTGGCTAGAACAGATGGTTCGAAGTGAAACGCTATTTTTGAATGAATTTCTTGGTAGACTCAAAGTTTCGTATCAACAGGACTGGCATTCTGCACTAATAAAAGGCACAATAACATTTGGACACACGTTGTTTAAACGTATGTTCGGTGTTGAATCATATCTTCATAGTTAGCCATTTTAAACATAGACGTGCGCTTGCTCAGTTTAGATCGGGGTCTCATAAACTACGAATAGAAACTGGCAGGTATATTGGTGAGGCTAGAAATGACAGATTATGTAATATCTGTAAATTGCCATATATAGAAGATGAATATCACTTCTTACTTATTTGTAATAAATATCAAGCATTGCGGCGACTGTATATCTCTTTACACTTTTATGAATATCCAACAATCCAAAAATGTAATACTCTTCTGCAAGCATCAAATGCAAGCATCTTAAAACATTTATCAGCATATATATATCAAGCTATGTTACTGAGACAGTCTTCATTATAACAAAATTCGTACAAAATAATGTACAACATTTAACACTCGTTTCGTATAAGTCGTATGACACACTTGCTCGTGTAATAATCTCTATTTACATTCAAGTAAATATAACAACTTCTCAATTGTTTTGAGAGAGAGAGAGAGAGA